TGCTGTTGCTGGCCATTTTGGTGTCTCTGAAACATAAAAATGTGTAAAGAAAAGTCGTCTCTATTTCATACATCAAAAAGTTGGAAGATAAGCTGAAGGCAGATGTAAAAGATAATTTTTTCATCTAGTAATTTATTCATTTTAATCAATAAAGTGAACCTATACTTTGTCTGTACTGGGCAAACTAACAGGTTCACTTTACAGAAGGGACCTTAAACATATATAAACCCAATTACTAAAATATCGTAAAAGCTTTAACATATTAATGTAATTTCAAAAGTAGGGATGCACCAATACCATTTTTTATAGACTGAGTACGAGTACTGATAGTTTTCCTCAAGTACTTGCTGATACCAATTACCGATACTTTTTTTTTTAGTGTCATGTGACAGTTTTTATAAAGCAATAAATACTAATGATTTTAGGACAGTGGTGGAACGCCAGGGCCAGGTCACAGCTGTAAATTCTGCACCCCTGGTAGTTCTGCCACAGACTTCAAGCTGTAGAAGGACTACAAATCTCAGTAATACATTATACAACAATGCAGAATACCTCCAGCTATATAGGACTACAAATCCCAGCAATACATTAAACAGCAATGCAGAATAATATGAAGCTACATAGTGTTGCTCACCAGTGATGTGCAGGGTCTTACCAGGGCTTTGCAGGGTCTCAGGAGACTGTGCATGGTCTCACCAGGGCTCTGCGGGGTCTCAAGAGGCTGTGCAGGGTCTGACCAGGGCTTTGTAAGGTCTCAGAAGGTCATGCAGGGTCTGAACAGGGTTGTGCGGGATCCCACCAGGACTGCGTGGGGTCTCAGCAGGGCTGTGCATGATCTCATAAGACTGTGCGGTCTCACCAGTGCTGTGCAGGGTCTCACCAGGGCTGTGTGCGGTCTCACCAGGGCTGTGTGCGGTCTCATCAGGGCTGTGTGTGGTCTCACCATGGCTGTGCGCGGTCTCACCATGGCTGTGCGCGGTCTCACCATGGCTGTGTGCGGTCTCACGAGGGTTGTGTGTGGTCTCACCATGGCTGTGCGCTGTCTCAGGAGGATGTGCCAGGTCTCCCCAGTGCTGTGGGGGTGGGTGCAGGTAGTGGGAAGGAGAAGGAGAACATGTGCGGCCAGCACTGTAAACAGCTGACACAAGGTCCCCACAAGGCTGCCGCGAGGACTTAATCAAGCATGGGATTTTACGGCAGCCGAATATATGTAAAATTTGAAGCGGCAGTATTACTGGTATCGGTGCATCCCTATTCAAAAGTCCTTTTTAATATTTTAAATCTGAAACTTCCATTAGAACCTGGTGTCCCTGCTATGAAGGTCCTTATTCAGTCAGTTCCTTGGGGTGACAACACTCTGTACCTGGTGCTAGACTATTTTGAGCCCTAAGCAATTTGTGCAGAACTGAGAGTGAAAGTTGTCCCTCAGTTCCACTCCTGTGCTCAGTGGGCAGGTACAATAGCCAGCCTGCTATTGACTTTTGCCATTTGAAATAGACAAGGGGGGCACCATGGGGGGGGGGGGGGGGGGGGTGGTGGGGGGGTCGCCCC